TAAAACCTGAATAAACCATTGACATAAAGCTAATCTAGAGCTGAGTTTGGAGATAATTATACTGCAATTATCTTTTTCAAATAAAACGGAACATCTGATTTTGCATTTAAAGCCATGCAATAACAGTTTTAAGTCAAATTCCCGTCCACAACTCACGTCGTTTTGTTAACTCACCGAACCTTAACTCACTGAACCTTAACTTCGCCTCTCAAAATAAAAACTCTTGACTCATTTTCGGAGGTTACTTATAGCGAAACTCATGGAATGAACCACCAGTTGTCGTGGTCGGCTTCAAGTATTATTAACGGAACATCGTTCAGGAAAACAATAACGTTCAACCATGTATAGACGTCAATAAAAGTAAACAGCTTTCCGAAAGAAGCAATCTCTCGTTCGTTCATTGATGTTGTAATTGCATTGTACCTCTCACTTGAAATAATTATTCATCCATTCGTACATAAAAATATGCATTGTATCTCATGTTTCATTTCACATTGTTAAGATGAATTCAATTAGCATTCGCATTACTGAACGTATTTTTGAAGAGGACTTAGTTTTAGCCAATTTAGTGTAATCATATAGTATTCCTATATATTTAGAACCGTCTTTATTCAAATTCTGATAAAATCAGAAATTTTGAAAACAATCTCTGATTTCGGATCAATGAAAATTTTAGCTTGAAGTTTGTTAAATACACTCAGGAAAACTGAAAGAAGAAGAATTTTCGGCGATTATCTGGGATCTGGGGGGCAAAAAACCACCGCCTTGCCTTCCCTTGTGGTTTACGCTCAAGTCGAATACAATTTTTGGTAACAAAAGATAAAACAGTTGCCCTGTCTAATTGTTACAGGTTATCAACTCAATCATTAAAAATTCTTTCATGTATCAACTTTCTGTCACTTAAACCATACCCAATAATTTTTCCTTCACCCTCACCCTGGATGGGGTTTGTATTCAACCTGATGAACTGTCATCATTTCCAGCTGCCCTCATACAGTGTGGCGTATAACATAAGGCCATGAGGGTGAATATGTGAGGAATGAAGAGCCGAGGGTCCAAGAGTTTGACCGGACCAGAATGGGGGAATGGAGTGACACAGGGGAAGAATTGAGGGGAGAGAGGAGAGGGGAAAAGGAGAGGGGGAAAGGAGTGATATAATTGATCAAAGAACAGAAGGTTGGGAAGGAGCGACCTCTCCGAGACGTTATCTTTCCGCGCCAGCGCTCGCAAGTCACGGCGATGTCTCGCGCGTCATTCGCGGTCGCGTCACCCACGCGCGCCCCTCAAGCAGACCTGCACTTGCTTGCGTTACTTGAGCACTTTACAATCACTGATAATAATAGCGTTGAAAATTATCGTTTGTGTGGTGCGTACAAACTTATCTTCAAGTTTGATTCTCTCGACCTATTTTTTCTAGATCGAATACTGAGAAGTATGCTATTTTCGAACATGTTTTCACAACATTTGTTGCTGATTATTGAGTTCAACTGCCCTCAGTTATTTATTATAAACAACTTTAAAAATTCGATTTACATGATTCCTGCTTGTGATTACCTTTGGATTAATGTTGATGGAAAAACTTCAGATAGCCACGGGAAGAGATCAATCAGTTAGTACGTTTTTCAAATTGGGATTTAACCAAGTTATAAAGCTTATTTCTAGACCGTCGTTTAAGCAGATGTGCTCAGAAGGCAATGATATTAAAGATAGAGCGGGCGTTTGGTTGCAGCTTCATTTACTACAGTAAAGCGACTGGTGCGAGACTTACGTTTGAACAGCGAAACTTTAATACGTTTTATTTATACGCTATGGAGTTATGGCACGGCATGGTGAGTTATTCACTCACTTATTTCAAGTGTTGAGACATCGCAAAATACCGTGAAAAATCGTAAATTTAACGGACATTGTGAAAGGATCTGAGGGCAATCTGGTTGAGTAGCTTGCGTGTTCGGAGCGCCGTAAGTAGGCTTTGCCTCGGTCACTTAGGCTTCCTTCAAAGCCGGAATAGCAAATAGAATTGATTCTTTCTCGCGCTTCCTATGCTCGTTTTTGTGGACACTTTTAAACTGAAATGATATAAATGTCATCTTACAATTAATTTACTGACGAATCTAACACACAAGTATGCGGAAACCGAAAAAAGTATATCAATTTCGTTGGAGACTTCCAATTTACTTTTTAACTGAACAATTTCGATTTCTTCAATTTTCCCACATCTTTAACCCTGGCGAGAAAATTTAAGTAATTCCACTTAAACCAGAAAAACATTCATTCATAAATGCGAAAAATTAAAATCTGTAACACAATAAGGAAGAGAAACAGATTCTAGTGAATGAATAATGAATAGTAAAAAAATGTGACGAATTCAGGTCTATCGGGAATGGAAAACTTCGTCAAATAGGGCATCACAACTCGTTCAAATCTCAGCAACTCGAAAAATAAAATAAATAAACAGGAAATAACGTTGCCGAGTCTCACTCATCACAACTCTCGCCGAGTCTCACTCATCACAACTCTCGCCGAGTCTCACTCATCACAACTCTTGCCCAGTCTCACTCATTACAAATCTCGCCGAGTCTCACTCATCACAACTCTCGCCGAGTCGCCCTCATCACAACTCTCGCCGAGTCTCACTCATCACAACTCTCGCCGAGGTTCACTCATCACAACTCTTGCCCAGGCTCACTCATCACAACTCTTGCCCAGTCTCACTCATCACAACTCTCGCCGAGTCTCACTCATCACAAATAAACTGCCACCGAATTTCCCAGGGCGAACAAAGCTGTTCTATGCTCCGGCACGCGTCGCTGCTGGTCCTCCTGACATTTCTACGTCGTCTTGCAAGTTAGTGATGTCCCTCAGGCAAATGACGTGAAAGTAACGTTGATTATGAGTTTATTTAATTAAAAAACGTTGATGACACCGTTGACAACGAAGTTATTTTTTCCAAATGCTGATACTGACGTTGACTAAGAGTTGATTTCCTTGCAGAAACGACTAATCAACGTTACTTTAACATCAGATGCCTGGAGGCTGGTCGATACTCAAAATATACTTTTTCTTCGTAAATATATTATATTTAGTGACAACTTAGTGTAAAGTGTGCAAATTAGAAGTAAATCCTACAGCTGCATGTATCATACACGAAAATTGGATGAGACGAACTTCACCTGGATTGTATTAGCAGTTATTTTTTCAATACACTGGAAACATATATCAATTCAAATTAAATTTTGAGTAACTATCACGATTTCAAAATAAGATTGTAAACAGGTATTTCAGAAATGTGAGTTTTAAAGTTTTAATTTGAGGTTCTTGAACTTTGAAATTAGGTAATTATTTCAAATACTTGGGAAGCTGATTTAGAACGCGAATATTAAAATCTCACGTATTATCAATCTCGAAGCCCGCGCTGTTAACCTGCTTTATACTACTCTATATTTCATCAATATGATATTATACCTCCAACTGAACCAGTTCACTTCGGACACTTAACTTGCTCTTTTCATAAATTAAATGAATAAATTAAATAAATACGTTGTGGACACCTAGTGATATGCAAAATCCTATTTTTACAATTTCAGGTTTCAGAAATTAGGGAGACTTGCTAATATTTCAATTAGACGATGCAATAAATATGACTTAATCAAAATTTGCTTTCCTCAAGCAACACCGACTTCCAAAGGTCATTAATGTCGATTTAATCGGCTACTTTTTCGTTCCAGCACTCATAAGCATGGAAATATCGCTCTTTGCCTAAATTTTCAACAACATAAAATAGAAAAAGAATCACATTTACGTAAAAATAAAAAATGGATATTAATTGTCATACGTGCGCTCTCTCAGATTAATCCTTCTGCTGTACTCAATTGGCTTCTCCTGGATATAGTTTATATAGTGTATTTACATAGCTATCTATAGTTATATAGATAGTTTCCACTTTACTATGCTAAAACCTTTACAGTTGTTCACTATGTGTATAGATATCAGTTCCAGGGTAAAATGTATTACATTAAACAGGGATACGACACTAAATCCAATCAAAACTATAGAAATTTCATTGTTGACGCTCATTGGCTGTACTCTGCTCGGCCAATGAGGGATCAGCAGTAATCGACAATCTGTAATTCGGAAGGAAGCTGACTTGGTGAAAAGCGACCTACGAGAAGAAACTTTTATGGAACATATTCTTCAATTCATTTGCGATAAAACAAACTCCTCAATACGTAATTATAACATGATTATTTTTGATACATTATGATGGAAACCAACAACACATAAACATATAAAATTGATCATGCCTATTTCATACTGAGTAAAAATGTCTGCATTCGGGGAGACAGCAGCGCCACTAAAACCTAAGATGCCCGAGAAAATATTACTTCTGTCTCCGGCAGTTTTTCCTCCTCCTGTCTGGCTTCCACCTTCTAAGAAGCCATCTTCGCCCTGCCCTGGGGTGAGATTATTTTCTTTTTCCCCTCGTAAGATATGATGTTGGTCAAACGCCCCGTCGAGCATTTCGAAGTTCCCCTTCGTGGATTGTTTGAATTCCTCACGGCGTCGCAAGTCGCCGACAGAGTTCGTCGGAATCGCTGGCGTCACACGATTCGTGTCACGCGTTGTCGACCTTGGAAAAGAATTGACTGTTCTTTTACGTTGTTCAACAGTTTATGTCAATATTTTATGAATTTATGCACATTCAGGTTCATTATGGTAGCGGATATTGCCTTCACCACGAGTTGCGTACAGCTAAATAGTCGATCACGATAGAGCCAGATCGACGGCTGCCACTTACGAGTGTGTGGGCTGTGGATACGTCAATCTACTGCCACGTACCAAGGTGCAGATACGTCTATCTACTGTCACGTACCAAGGTGCAGATACGTCTATCTACTGCCACGTACCAAGGTGCAGATACGTCTATCTACTGCCACGCACCAAGGTGCAGATACGTCTATCTCTGTCTCTTATACACATCTAGATGTGTATAAGAGACAGACGTAGAGCCGTACGCTGGTGTCCGCCCTGCCCAGGGAGTTGGTGGCCACGCAGGAATATTGGCCCGCGTCGGTCCAGTTGAAGGCGCGGATCACGAGCGTCAGAGAGCCGTTGTAGGCGCCCGTCGTCTCCTGCAGCGCGTATTTCTTCCTGGGGTCACAAATGAGGATAATTAATGAGGATAGTCGCGTGCAGCATCTTTGTTTCGATGTATATTTGACTACACCGTATGTAATAATTATTTAAATAGATAATTAATGAGAATAGTCGCGCGCACCATCTTTGTTTCGATGTATATTTGACTACACCGTATGTAATAATTATTCAAATGGATAATTAATGAGAATAGTCGCGCGCACCATCTTTGTTTCGATGTAAATTTGACTACACCGTATGTAATAATTATTTAAATAGATAATTAATGAGAATAGTCGCGTGCAGTCTCTTTGTTTCGATGTAAATTTGACGGTAACAACGTATATAATAATTATTCAAAGACATTGCGTGATGTTATGAGACATTCCATGAGAATTAATAAGCGTTAAAAATTGTGTTGTGATTAAAACAAATTGATCTTTACAAAAATCTGTATATTTAGTTCACGTTTGAATGAGTAATAAGTATCAGAATTGACAGCGAAAAACAAGCTAAAAATTTCTCAGTGAATTTATTTGCTTAGTTTATTGTAAGGAACTTCCCGAGCACGCGGCTAATTAGGGATCATATTTTTTTGAAGGCTAAGTGACAGTTCATGAAAACAATCAATTTTGAAAGCACAGTTATATGCGCTTCATCGTGTGCTGTTTTATCCTTTGATAACCGATTACTTTGCTACCAAAGCAAGGAAATTTACAAACACATGTTATGTTACAGGTTATGTCAGGTTTCTCTTCTCTAAATCTTCAACGCACGATTGACTATTTGGAGGAATTTATTCCAGTAAATATACTAATGTAATTCATGGAAGCAAAAGTAGCTGCTTTTTTCAAAATAATTTTACCATACAACAAAAGAAAAACATAGCAGCGAATATTAATGCCTTGACTCTTCTTACAGAGTTGTAAGAAGTTGTTGTCTTATAGTGCTTGCTCGGCTTGACATGAGTTTATAATCTCGGCGCCGTTCAATAGCCGCTCATAATCTCATGACTGCTCGAGATTCAGTGGAATAATCTCACTACAGGTCGCAGAGAGCGGCTGTATTGCTGCATGTTCGGTGTCGCAATTATTCAGGCGATGCAAACTTAACAAGGTACACTACCTTCACATCGCACGACCAATTATCTCTCATTAATAAAAGAGAACTAATTAGAGCTCCGTTTCATTAACACTTGTAGCCTCAGGCAAAAATCTTCAATAGCTTCGATAATTTCAAGCACAGCTGCACCGGCGCTTGTGTTTCATGTAAAAGAATCAAGGACGTTAGAACGCCGGCCAAATGCAGACAATTTTTTGCAAAGGACGAGCTCAGTACCTTCACAAATGAAGTAAAGGGGGACTTCCGTAAGAGCGTAAGTTCAGCCAACCATCGGCCAAATTTGGCTCATGCCAATTTACCGAAAGTGTAAGGGTATGTAATTTTATTTTCACTAGTTTCATGATAGGAGGAGATATCTTCAAATATTTTTTAAACCACAAAAATGCATACTGCCAAACGCAAGAAAATACACCAATAAACTGTTCCCGCACGTCACCCATTTGGCCATCATAAAATTCAAGCAATGAAATAATTTAAAAAGTTAATTGTTGGCGAACTGATAAGAATAAAATCTTCCTAATTATACGTATCAGCGGCCAATTTGTAGCATTCTTGCATAACAACCGGTACCTTGGGGTACGTGGTGGCTTTACGGAACTACAATTAGTGCGCGATCACAAAATGTTTAGGAAGCAATGCTATGCGACAAGCAAGTGTTCATGTCTCACTCAGAGAGCAACATCTCGGGAGTGCCGTGCAGCCAGCTGTACGACCATCAAGTGTTTGCGTCTCCCCCAGAGAGCAACATCTCGGTACTGTCGCGCTGCCAGCTGTACGACAAGCAAGTGTTCGTGTCCCAAACAGAGAGCAACATATCGGCCGAGTCGCATGCCAGCTGTACCACAAGTAAGTTTTCGTGTCACACCCAGAGAGCAACATCTCGGCCGCGTTGCGCTGCTAGCTTTTCAACAAGCAATAAGAGTTTGTGCCCCAAACAGAGAGCAACATTTCGGCCGTGTCGCGCTGCCAGCTGTACGACAATTAAGTATTCGCGACTCACCCAGAGAGCAATATCTCGGCCGAGTCGCCTGCCAGCTGTACGACAAGCAAGTTTTCATGTTACACCCAGAGAGCAACATCTCGGCCGCGTTGCGCTGCCAGCTGTACGACAAGCAAGTGTTCGTGTCCCAAACAGAGCAACATCTCGGCCGTGTCGCGCTGCCAGCTGTACGACAATTAAGTATTCGCCACTCACCCAGAGAGCAACATCTCGACCGTATCGCGCTGCCAGCTGTACGACAATTAAGTATTCGCAACTCACCCAGAGAGCAACATCTCGGCCGTGTCGCGGTGCCAGCTGTACGACAATTAAGTATTCGCAACTCACCCAGAGAGCAACATCTCGGCCGTGTCGCGAGTACGACAATTAAGTACTCGCGACTCACCCAGAGAGCAACATCTCGGCCGTGTTGCGCTGCCAGCTGTACGACAATTAAGTACTCGCGACTCACACAGAGAGCAACATCTCGGCCGTGTGGCGCTGCCAGCTGTACGACAACTAAGTATTCGCGACTCACCCAGAGAGCAACATCTCGGCCGTGTCGCGCTGCCAGCTGTACGACAACTAAGTACTCGCGACTCACCCAGAGAGCAACATCTCGGCCGTGTCGCGCTGCCAGTAGACGATGGCGTGAGGGAACGCCTCGACGTCACACCTCACAGAGACCTCCGTGCCCAGTGGCGCCCCCAGCAGCTGGTTCTCCACCTTTACCATTGGAGCAACTGAGAAGAAAAGTATTTTTCAGAGGATCGTGCTGAATAAAAGAATAAACAAACGCTTTTAGATGTATATCAATGCATATTTATTTAAACAAATTGATTCATCTCCTATAGCAAGTATGTATTAGGTATAAATATATGAAGAATTCTATTCATTTATTCAAAATGGGTGATGGAAAACGAGTTCTGGTAACAAGATCAACTGTACATAGAAAAATTTCTAGGTGTTGTAACGTTGCTCGGTCTAGGTAGATAATGGCAATGCCTTCATCATCTTGAATTGATAGAGTAAATACTGATCATTTCGTATTTATTGAATATATTAGCAGTGTTAAAATAACATCTGGGAATTGGAATGTGTGTGGGAATATTTATTATTTCCGAGTTAGTGCCTCCTAATTTATGTGGTACGTTTCATCAGTATTCGATCTGTTGAACTGCAATTCAATGTGACCACTATAAACATTTTCTTTTTATAGTCTACCATATTCGAAGTATATTGAATAGAAAGGTTTTTTTCTTAAAATTACTGCTAGTGCGATCAACTCAAACAGTAAAATATGCGGCTATCGCAAAATGAGGCTGTTGCGATCTGCAGCTGTTGCGATATGCGACTGTCGCTACATAAAGCTTTCGCTATATGCAGCTATCGTAATATGCTGCTGTTGCAATATGCTGCTGTTGCAATATGCTGCTGTCGCAATATGCTGCTGTCGCAATATGCTGCTGTTGCAATATGCTGCTGTCGCAATATGCTGCTGTTGCAATATGCTGCCGTCGCAATATGCAGCTAATGCAATATGCTGCCGTCGCAATATGCGGCTGTTGCAATATGCTGCCGTCGCAATATGCGGCTGTTGCACTATGCAGCTGTCGCAATATGCGACTGTCACAATATACTGCCGTCGCGATATGCGACTGTCGCAATATGCTGCCGTCGCAATATGCGGCTGTTGCACTATGCAGCTGTCTCAGTATGCTGTCTCCTCTAAGCTGCATGCGCTACGAGCGAGGCCACGGAAGAGCTTCATGCGAGCAGCACGACGTCATATAGTTAAGTTGTTCGGATTTCATAGTCCACTTATGCTTCTTTTGTTGCTCCCGTGGGGACGACCCAGAACTGATCAGCCTATTATTGAACTCTTCGTCGCGTCTGGCTCTATAACGTACTGGATTTCTTGCCTTTCCTTGCTAAAAAGCATCGCCTGGAAGCTTGGAAATTTGATTCTGCTGGATTTCGGTAAAGAGGCATTGATAGAGGGAAGTACTTCTTGTTTCTGCCTATTTGTATTTTTATTATTTAAATTTTTGAACTGATGATGGAGCTGGTTTTCAAAACGCTTTCAATGAATAATTGGGGAATTTGCTTGGAACTTTATTTCGTTTTAAATTCTGGTCCAACTCCAATTTAATTTTAACGAACGCAACATATAAGTATGATTATTTCGTATAAATTTAGGAATGCTCACGTATTGCCATTTGAGCCACTCTGGGCATGAATCATAAATGGACGCAATAAAATCACTATGTAATACTTTTTATAATTTATAGGCTTATATACGTGATTACGCGAGTTTTTGTACAATTACTTAAATTCGACGAAGATTTGTGAATTTGCATATCGTTTCTTCTGCCTTTATATCTTGTTTTACGTCAGTTTGGCAACGACCTTGTATAGGACAACCCACTTGCACCCGTCTTGAAGCTCTTACCCTTATAGCCCCACCACCCTGCCTCTTACAATGAAGGGATCGAAGTACGCTATCCAATCTGTCCATGTAAGATCCATTCCTATTACAATCCCTAAGCCGAGCTTCTTGCATATTATATCACACGTAATTTTCTGTAAGCTAGAAAAGCAACAAAATTACTTCAATATTTTTAAAACTAAACAATCACTTAATACGATGAGAGTTAGATGGAAAAATTAGTAATTTTGATAAGCTTGGTCTTTTTTTTCTGCAATGCCTCTGGCTTCCAAGACTACTGCAAAAACTGCTTCGAAAAATTGGTGTTGATAGTTTGTTTGTGTCTTTAAATTTGCAGCAAACGTGCACTTTTGATTTAAAGATCGGGATAAAGAAATAATTATTTTATTGAACATTCATTACGATGAACCTTCCGAGAATATATGAGTGTTTTATTAGCTATAGAGAATACCAATTCCAGTTCGGGAAATAGGGAGATGAGGAGAAGCGCCTAACCCGGCTAAATGAAGGCATTTCTGCCTCGCGCTGTCTCCACCGCCAGCAAACTTGGCCAACAACAAACGAAAAGGAAGCCCCTTTTGCAGCCTTAATTATTAGTCGCTGTTGTTTCTGCTGACGCTTTTCTGTGCGATGCAGCTGCCTTTTACGTCCCTGCTGATGTTTCTCATGAGGATAGGTGTGTGAAAGAAGCAGTTTCTACAGGGCTGTTGTTTCTGATAAAGCTGCTGCTTATACGTCAGCTGTTGTTTCTGATACAGCTGTTGCTTGTACGTCAGCTGTTGTTTCTGATACAGCTGCTGCTTGTACGTCAGCTGTTGTTTCTGATACAGCTGCTTCTTGTACGTCAGCTGTTGTTTCTGATACAGCTGCTGCTTGTACGTCAGCTGTTGTTTCTGATACAGCTGCTGCTTATACGTCAGCTGTTGTTTCTGATACAGCTGCTGCTTGTACGTCAGTTTTTTTCTGCTGCAGGACCTCCTCCCCTTTTACATTTTTATAACAATTTTTCTGTGAGTTTCCGCTGTTGACTCACCGCATTTGTTTATTTTGCACTTAACGTTTCTTTGCAGCTTAAGTTGTTGTTGTTCCTACGGTAAATCCTGATACTATTGTTCATATATTAAATGCTAATGCTGGTGTTCCTATATTAAATCCTGATGCTGTTGTTCATATATTAAATCCGGATGCTTTTGTTCCCATAGTAAATCCTGATGCTGTTGTTTTAAAGTAAATCCTGATGCTGGTGTTCCGATAGTAAATCCCAATGCTGTTGTTCCTAATATAAATCCTGATGCTGGTGTTCCCATAGTAAATCCTGATGCTGTTGTTCCTCTGTCTCTTATACACATCTAGATGTGTATAAGAGACAGATGCTGCTGTTGCAATATGCTGCTGTTGCAATATGCTGCTGTCGCAATATGCTGCTGTCGCAATATGCTGCTGTTGCAATATGCTGCTGTCGCAATATGCTGCTGTTGCAATATNTTTTCCCATAGTAAATCAAGCAGCTCTCTTCCCATAGTAAATCCAGCTGCTGTTTTCCCATAGTAAATCAAGCAGCTCTCTTCCCATAGTAAATCCAGCTGCTGTTTTCCCATAGTAAATGCAGCTGCTGTTTTTCCTGCGCTGCTGTGGCATCAGCCGCCATCGTCTCCTTTTGAGTCCATGCGCTGCAGCAGAATTTCTCAGGCTGCCATCATTGTTGGTAATGCTGCTGCTGCACACTCCATTATTTTGCATTCGTTTTTCCCCAAGTTGCTCTTGCTGCAGCAAGACCCAAGGTCTGCAAATGAAGTTTCTTGAACCGAACTGCGTCATTTCTCCGGCAAAATTTTCTCCTGAAAATCCTCTAGCGTAGCTACACGAATTATTTTTTGTTCGTGTGCCATTGCACGCTGCCGCCCTTCACACTTTCCTTGGACCGGCGCACGGGAAAAACAATCGCATCCAAAAAGATGTGCGAGTTTCTTACAGCGACCGCCTACTTAAAACTTCATGAACTTTTTCTCTAACTGGACAAGTTTGCGAAACTGAAAGTTTGGTTTAACGTTCGATACTTGTATAAACCACAATTTAACCCGTCGTATCTGTGAAATTAAAAGCAATGTCGTAAATTACTCTTTAAAAGTAATTCTCTTCGACCAGTCGCAAAATATTATATTTTGTGAGGAAAATTTCAAATTGTCTGGTGTTAAATTACAGCAAATCTAAGCACGCATGTAAAACTACGTGCGAATGAAAAATGCTCTACTAATTAGATTAAGTTATTATTATGCTTTGCATTAGACACCTTTTATCTCCACCTTTAATCTCCTTCCAATATTTTCTGTTGAATATAATGGAAGTTGTGGATGGAAGCACATGAAAATAGCACGTGATCCGACTTAAAAGCCTCGTAATATGACGTGAGAAGCACGTGATTTTCCACTGTTAAGTATGAAACAAATGTTTCTCTATAATATTGCTGCAGCGTCACTCACACTTTACACTAATATTAGTGGTACATCACTCCTAATTTTCTTTAATGTTAGTAACACTATTATTAGTAACACTCATATTAGTAACGCTATTGTTATTAACGCTATTATTAGTAACGCTATTATTAGTAACGCTATTATTAGTGACGCTATTATTAGTAACGCTATTATTAGTAACGCTATTATTAGTAACGCTATTATTAGTAACGCTATCATTAGTAACGCTATCATTAGTAACGCTATTATTAGCAACTAACGCTATTATTAGTTACGCTATTATTAGTAACGCTATCATTAGTAACGCTATTATTAGCAACTAACGCTATTATTATAACGCTATCATTAGTAACGCTATCATTAGTAACGCTATTATTAGCAACTAACGCTATTATTAGTAACGCTATCATTAGTAACGCTATCATTAGTAACGCTATCATTAGCAACTAACGCTATTATTAGTTACGCTATTATTAGTAACGCTATCATTAGTAACGCTATTATTAGTAACGCTATCATTAGTAACTAACGCTATTATTAGTAACGCTATTATTAGTGATGCTATTATTAGTGACGCTTTTATTATTAACGCTATTATTAGTAACGCTAACATTAGTAACGCTATTATTAGTGATGCTATAATTAGTAACGCTTTTATTAGTGACGCTTTTATTACTGATGCTGGTATCAACACGGCATGACTCACAGTTGATGCTGAGTGTGATGCGTTTGCTGACGGTGGGAGGGACGCCGTTGGAGGCGATGCAGAGGTAGGCCCCCATCTGATGCCGACCCACAGCCTGCATCACCAGCACGCCGCCGTCCACCTCCCGCACTAAGGACATTCAACACATCACTCAACACTTAATTAATAATTAATTAATTAAGTAATTAATAAATAATTAATTTATTAAACGAGAATTTTGAAATTTTAACACTTAAATGTTTTATCATAATAATTTAAAATAAATTAATTTTATAAACGAGAATTTTGAAATTTCAACACCTCAACATTTTATCATAATTAGAATAAATTAATTTTTAAAACGAGAATTTTGAAATTTCAACACTTCAACATTATATCATAATTAGAATACATTAATTTTTAAAACGAGAATTTTGAAATTCCAACACTTCAAGATTTTATCATAATTAGAATAAATTAATTTTTTAAACGAGAATTTTGTAATTTTAACACTTAAACGTTTTATCATAATAATTAAAAATAAATTAACTTTTAAACGAGAATTTATAAATTTCAACACTTCAACATTTTATCATAATTAGAATGAATTAATTTTTAAAACGAGAATTTTGAAATTTCAACACTTCAACATTTTATCATAATAATTGAAAATAAATTAATTTTTAAACGAGAATTTAGAAATTGAAAAACGGAATTTTTATAATGTAGAAACATTACATATATTCAAAATAATTTTTAAAACAACAATAAATAAGAGAATAAAAAAATTTCTCGCGCCCGTAAAATTTCCCTTTGTTAGAAATTTCCACATTCCTTAGGATATAAATTTGTTCTTTTTCTTCATACCTATTGTTGGGTATCTATTTGTAAATAGTTTGGTTGGCTGTAAAGTTATGTTGGGCCGGGCTTGTTCGTCTGTGTAACGTCGGCGAGCCTGTATGAACCAGCAAGCAAGCGTTATTTTTTGAGACTTGGTTCCTTCCTAATTTCTGTGAATGCGTCTTGATTCCTCAAGCTTGCGGGACCAGTCGTCTATGGGATCAAGTTCCACAATAAAAGTTCAATCTGTTTACCGTTTTTTTGTATTAAGCCTAACACCTTTCGTAAAATTCAATTATTTGCAGCTTGGATAGGGATAAAACTGTCCCATTGCCCTTTTTACTCTTCATGCAACGATAGTCCTGCGATGATTTTGTAATTTCAGTTTAGAGACGCTCCACGTCATAGCGTTACTTCACTTTACACGTCATTGTTCACTTTGACTTGGAAGTCGCCTGTGCTCCTCTTCATGTCTGTCCACTATCCAACTTTCATTCGCGTCTTTATGATGGAGCCGCAATCCTAGTGAGTTTCAATTCTGTGACCATCAAATTATTTGTTGCGCATTCATTTTGCTATAAATTTCAGTGTTAACGATTAAGTATGCGTTTCCCTATCAAATACTCAAAGCTAGGTATTCAGTGATGTTTTATGCGCAGTACCTTGTCCAGCCATTGTTCATTCTTAGAAATTTTTATGGATTCTAGATAGAATTCGTCAAGTTAATGTTCTCTGAATCTTTAAAGAATAGACAAATTGAAAATCATTTTCTTATCATTTTTTGCAGCTTACGTTGTTTAGGTTGCTACCAAAGATTTCAATAAAGTTTCACGGTAACGCCTTTGGATTAACCCACGGCGGAATCCCTGTAGCCAGGGAACTGATGTCGTGACACAACTAATATAATTCAAGTTAGGATCGCCGCGATTGAACAAACAAATAAACGAATGATCTACAATAACAGCTCCGGAGCACAACGTCGGAAGAATATCTGTCCGACCAGACGGACATTTTTGGATAAATTAGGACGCGCCTTATTGCGAGTAATGGGAATTAGAGATTATTATCGAGGACTGAGAAACAAGTGTTATAAAAATCCCTTTACTCTGTTCATTGATTTCAGCCGTTGATTGAAATTAAATAACAGAAGCAAATACTTGGGTCAGGGATTGAAAACATCCATACATTTTATTCAGATTATATCTTAATTATATTCCAACTGCAATTACGATTGAGAGAAACAGAAAAGCATTCCCGTTACCAAAAGCAGTGAATTCAACAGGTCATGATTTGGAATTTGATACACATTTAGCAGGCAAACAATTTGATTTAACAGCTCATGAGGCAATATAGAGCAAGCAATTGGATCGATCTGTTGAGACAGAAACAAACAAACAAATTTGCAAGGAAAGAAACAGCAACTCATTAGCTAAAAAAGTTAATTATTGATCTCATGGACATATAAAAGCTATAAATTAAAATAAAAAATCAGTCAAACTACCAAAACAAACAAAGAAGATACATTATCATCGATCTCATATCCTACCAAAGAAAGAGAATTATGTTTTGCAGTAAATAATTTTTTATGTATGATCGAAATTAAGTAAAAAGATAGGGATAAGGCAAATCAATTTGCATCCAAAGGAACGATAATGGCTGAAAAGTCTTCAAAGTTATCATATTCAACCGCATTCTTTTCTCGAGTGCACGTCAATAATTAAACTAAATGAAGACACTAAAATACACTTTGATGTGAGGAAACCACCATTTATATTTTGAGAAACAATAAAAAAATAAATATCCATCACACTGATATATAAATATTGTCCTCCAGAAATTCCAAACAATATCCGATTTTAAGCGCATGAGATTTGTAGACGATATAAGCTGCCTAAAATGGATATAATATGTTGACGAGTAATTTTTATGAACCAAATAGAAGAACTAGTCAAAGCACTATTTTCATCTCCATGATTTAAATGATTTAACCATAAATAAGTCATAGTTTAATTCGAAAATATACGTTTGAGTTATCAGTGTTATATCTATAAATATAAACTATATATACACACAATTTTGTCCGAGTTCAGAGTTCAGATGACTGCTCATTCCAATTATTTCATTAATGCTGCCTCAAAATTTTACCGTAATTACTGTCGTATATTTTGTCATATATCCGCTCTATGTTCCCTTTTACCATAAAGGCCAATTGATTGTGTTATAAATCGATTCTTTGTCGTAACACTGCCAATTCATTCTGCCGGTTCATTATGTTCTCCCGTTACTGCCTAGTACATGTACTATGTTGGTGTACGAGATATAATTATCAGAAATCTTTCCTACACTATGATCTGGAGACTATTTTTACATCAAATGAAAAACATCGATGATTTTACTGTTATTCCACTGCACGTAACTATACCTATAATAAATGTTCGTAAATACTCCCGCAATGGCATCGCTATACGGCTACTAGCTATGAAGTCCTGAAGCTATTTTATAATGTTAATAAATTCTTTTCTAGAAAAATTGACTATTTCCTGGGTATCACCCAGTTGCTCGACTCCTATTCTACGACTATCCTGCGCCTATGAAACACGGTACTATACACCTTATTCTACGACTATCCCTCGCCAATGCAAAACAGTGCACTACTCTTTTTCTACCACTATTATGCGCCTAGGAAACACGGTACTGTACTCCTGTTCTACTACTATTCTGCGCCGAAGGATACAGTGCAGCAATCCTACGAATATCCTGCGCCGAGATAATACGGTGCACTGTCCTATTCTATGACTATCCTGCGCCGAGGCAATATTCCATGGATTGGCCAGATGCTGCGCGCCGTGTGATCGATACGGCCGAGATAGGCAGGCCGTATTGGCATCGTGCCAAAACTCGTTTTTTATGCTGGTATCCACGGTTCGATTTTTGCCAGATTTTCTGATGTGTTTTTGTGACGGTTAAAGGGACGGTTATGAGAGAGGTTTCGCTAGTAAATAAAAGCCCGGGGGACTCACGCGATAGATGAAGCGGGAAAATGTGAATATTTGAAATCCATCGCTTACTTTCACTTGATTTTTTTTAAAGTTTAAAGTTCTAATTGAATGACGCCATTTAGAAGATTGTTTTGAATTCTGAACAGTAATAGATCAACACAGAATTTTTCTACGAATAGAATAAGAAAACTCTAGTGCAAATCTTCTAGCAATTAACGTACTGGAATCTGGACTGTAATAAATATTTGATGTCTTATGTAATGGTTGGTCTAGAACAGATAGTCTAACCGAGTATTTCATGCAGACCAACTAATTATTTCGTTAGTGATCACAGTAAACTGAAAACCAACTGAACAGTGAACAATGAGAAATCATTTAATGGTAATTTAATTTAAATCAGAATGTGATTTTCAAGAAATGGAACGAAAAATTTTTGCAAAGTAAAATATATCGAACGAATGATTGATATTAATTATTGATAATAATAAATATATTAGGAAAGAGTGATATTATTAATGGTAATTACTCTATATTGGCTCTATATAGTCTTTTCAATTTGGCATCAGCAGTGTTTAAATATCTACAAGACTTTTAAATGTCTATCTTGCTCAGCTCAAGTATTTACATCTTCTTTATAGAGTGAAAATATTTTGCTCGTAGACAAAAAAGTTTCTCAAATATTATCTCGCCACATCGTTTTCATTTGAATTAGCAGTGCCGTCACAATCTATAATTTACATAGAATCTCAGGTAAATGATAGCAATACTCAATTTTTTGAAGCCTATAATGCGCCATATCTCGTCGAGCGTTACAATCAGCAGTGAGTTTTATGTCTTCAATATAAACTTGATATTTTCTTTATATTTTAATAACCGGAATATCGCTCCGCCTGCAGCTCTGCAGTAAAAAAAACTTTGCGTCTCAGTCAGCAAAAATTTCAAATTTTCCTGCGTTCGACGTCTTCCGGAGTTGAATTTTATACGCAAAGTCACGGAATTGTTGAATTAAGGACGACCAAAGTTCTGCTGGAATTACCATTGAGCCAATCTGTCAATCTGCGATCCAATTTTATGGCTCACTGGCCCTGGGAAATGTATTAAAAATTTGTAATTTTGCTCACTGTTCCTAAGTTTAGCTCACTAGTGTTCCCAATTTTGGCCCTAGTTCATAATTTTGGCCCACTAGCTGTTCCTAATTTTGGTTCACTGTTCTTAATTTTGGCTCACGATTCCTAATTTTGGCATACTGTTCCTGATTTTTGCTCACTGTTCCATTTGTTATTGCCTGATAACACTCACTTATTGCCTGATAACACTCAGTGTTTCTATCTCCGTCTGAAATTTATCGTGCAAAATCCATGGAAAGACTCGGACTTCACATTTGTATGAAGATATTGACGCAAATGGCTTCATATGTGTAAGAATATATTGACGTCTAACGCTTTATATTTGATTAAGAATAATCTCGTATATTTTTCGTAACGCCTGTTATAGTTCCAGTATCAATATTACTCAAAAATTTTAAATTTATTAACGTGATTAAAACTCGTTCGTGTCAGATGATACAAAAATTTTGAATTCTATATGCATATTATAAGGCATAGGCGGCCATCAATTTTCCTTATATTGCTCTAATTGTGTTGAATTTGGTTTCGACAATAATATGTTGAATAATATCCTGAATCAACAGCTGAATTCTCACTGTAAATCATGTAGTAATCCGCTACCAAACATTACTACCAGATTTTGATACGAATAATAAAAAAAATTTACCGGTAGTAAATAATATCAGACACGCATTATTTTGCCAGTTAACGCATCTCTACGCCAGATCAACACACATGCATTAAATGTAATTACACGCTCGCCTACTTTAAAGAAAAATTGCCCCAGCTTTATTAGAACTGATTTTGAACAGCCGTCCAGCTGTGATGGACAGATGGACTAAATTTCCGACAAATCTCTCGCGATTAAAATGGGGTTTTTGCGTCGGTGATACGCGAGTCAATTAAAATCTGGAAGTGAAAAATGAGAGAATGTTTGATGGAATTACGGATGAAATGATTATAAAAAACACTAATAATGAATCATCAGAAACATCATCGATGACTGCCAGAAAATATATACGCTGGCAAAACATAATTCGACGCTCCGCGACACGGTTGAAGCCTTATCGAAAATTAACAGGTAATAATTAACGGCATTTTTTACGGCACATGCGAAAGATAGGAGGGGTTAAATGGGGTTGTTAAGAGGGGCATGAATGACTTTCTATTTTCCAGTTTTTTTATGCCGCGATCAAAATATATATGAGTAGATTATAAATATATAGTCTACTCATTACTATAATATACTACTCATTACTATATAGTCTACTCATTATTGTCTACTATAAATGAGTAGACTATAAATACTGTGACATTAAACATGCTGTCGACCTTTTTTATACATCATGTGGCATGAATGTCAAGAGCCGACGCTCGATCTGAAGTCAATGTGTACAAAAACATGACTAGGAAATTTATGAATTGCTCAGAAACTTAACTGATTTTCGCCCGTGACTTGCAATAGTTTTCACTTTATCATAAACGTCTATCATAGAGCAGTTTTAGAAATTACGAAAAATTTGCTATTGTGAGGTATTTCAAAATTAATCAAAATAAGTAGGCAATTCTAATCTGGAAGAAAAATGTTCAATTATTAATCACAGGGAAAATCCATTTATCCTAATTATATTATAATAAAAAACATAGATGTGTTTGATACAAATACTCGTATTTGAGCGACCTGAAATCGAGGCAGCATTTCCTTATAACTTTTAATTTCTGTCATGTCTTGATTCCTCCCGTGTTCGCCTGAAACGAGAAACTGTAGCTCAGACTACATGACAGTTTAGAGTTAGCTTTAGAGTTAGCGTTGGAATGACCGGTAGAGTTGTGGGCAATCTTCTGCACCACTTATGATCATATGTCATCATTTACTGTGCTGGCAGCCACAACTCCCAAGCCATAACGTTCTCTCTCAGGTCGTGTTGTGGATTATAAAATAGCTCACTATTTGGGCAATATGAATTATTAATAGCAGAATAAATAAATGAATGAATTTAATTGCAGAATAAACAATAATGAATTTATGCAGAATAAATAAATACCTTTCTGTTTATTACGGCTAGCAGGATCGGTCTTAATGGCAATTTGAAGACCATCCTCGCGCCGCCACGTCACCCTCGGCTGAGGGTAGCCCTCTGCTGCACAGCGCAGCGTAACGCCCTCGCCCTCGTTGACGCTCGTGTCTGACGACGTCTGGCTGTTGATGATGTCCGGCGAAACTGACGGACACGGAATAGCAGGAGTGTAGCTTTATATTTGATGTTTATTTTTTAGCATATGGTATTTCGAGATACATTCAGAATAGCAAGAGTGGAGCTTTATATGAGTATATATATATATTTTTTAAAGGCCTCCCACACTCACCATTCCAACAAAAATAAATTAATTTTATTAATTAAAAACAGGGAATGGTTTCATGTCAATGATCAAGGCCCCGACCTTAACGCCTCTTATGGTGGCCTACACCGACTCCGAGGGTCACTGAGCTGTGACGCGAGCGAGGAGCGGGCCCACGTCGAACTTTTCTCTGACTGCTGTTAGGATGCTAGATGCATTGCCTCTCTGCACAGCCAAACCCAACCTTTGCTCCAACCATAGAGTCTCTCTACGTTCGCCGGACAATTCCGTAATGCGACGGCCAATCTGCGATATTAAAGAACCAGTCGTTTCACCATATGTGCCCGTCGTTTCCAATGCGACTGGCTCGAAACGATACCGAGCTGCCAACGCCGCGTATTTACGTCTCTTGCTATCCTCCGCCGCACGAGCCGCGAACCCAGCAGAAATAGCCGAATTATTGACGTGCAACTCAGCAAAAGTATCGACGCAGGTTGCATCCCAGCACAAACACCTCCCATTAGAAAATGGGAAAACTGTTAGCCATCTGGTCTCTTACCATCCCCTCTGTCCACTCCGACGGGTTCAAGGCATGAAGGAACGCCAGCGTTCTGAAGAGCCCTCCTGATCACATCGTTCAGAGCCGAGTGTCTTGGATGTCGCCCGGCGCTGTACTTACAAGAAAGGCCATGCAGTCCTCGTTCATCCATCCGCTTTCCGCACCGACAAGTGTGGGGTTCGCATACATTTGCGCCAACTCGAAGAGCAATTGAGACGCGGAAGGAGTCGGGATCTAGAAGTGTTCCAAGAGCATCCAAAGGAATAGCGTGAAGCCACAAGCCACTCTCTCTCTTCGCCGCTGCATGTAGACGAGCCCTGGATATTTGGTCCGCCGCTTCCAAAAGCCGCGCTGCGGAGGCCACGGCCACAGGCCCATCCCAAGTCTTCTGCCGGCCCAAACTCGCGTCCTCGGGCAAAGCAATACCTGCGTTCCCATTGCGCCACTCATCCACCGCCATCTGCAAACTGTCGTCCTCGGTCAGTCGTATAATATGTAAAACAGCATCAACTAGGCCACGGACGGAGTGGAGTGACGATATGAAAGCAGGGAGCGCGATGTCCTTTGACATATGGACACCCAGACCTCCCAGCCGGACCGGTAACACAGCTTGTTCAAGAGATTCGCGCTCGAAGCTGACATTGGTGAAGGTCGAGAGGGCAGAAACCAACACCTCATCGAACCGCTCCAAATCTCCTACCCGCGTATATGCAGGAGACGCACGTAGGACGTATTGGAGTTTAGGTAGAGCGAAACAATTCTTTAAAAGCGTAAATGCTTGATGACTATCAATTAATTTTAAACGCTCCACCATCCTCTCCAAGCCCTCCCGCTTCTCCCGGATAACGGACCTCCAATCACCAGGTTGACGAACCTGGTAAGGGAGGCCAGTAGCCTCGCGCCCGCCTCACCCGCCTTCCGCGAAATCAGGGCCACCAGATGACCCGGGCGGAGCCCGTCCGGGCCACCCGCCGAACCCGGCTTGAAGGAAGCGATGGCTTTCCTCACATCCCCTTCCCCTACGATAGAAGGAGGTGGGTAGTCTTCTCCTGCAGGTTCAGGGAGAAATAGGCCCTCAGGTGCCGGAGGATGCTTCTGCCGGAGCACTTCTCGGGTTTTATCGTCCCTCGGGGCAATATCATCCGATGATGCCAGCATACGCTTAGCCCCCCTTATGTCACCATCGGCCAGCCTGCTGGCCACTCGCCTTCCGAGCTCTTGATTTCCGTTTCCCGACTCCCGCCTCTTCCGGAGCCACCAGATGGTCAGATTCAATAAATGCTCGAATCTGCCTCTTGACTACTGTGGTTAGTGAGTGAGACGAACCGCTGCTCTCCGGCTGCCGCAGCGCGATCCACCCAAATGACAGCAATCTACCCCACGCTAATTAGTATATTAGTTGAACATTTTGTGCTTGAGTTCAATATCACCGCCTTGTGGTCCTAGTGGAGGGGGAAGCTGGCGTAGACGTGATATAACTTTGTTTTGCTAGAATTTGCTGAAGATTTTCACCATGGGGTGCTCTTCAGCGCCCCATGGTAAACTGTTGAAGCTGCTAAAACTGTTGGGGATATGGGGACGCCTGTTAGGGTAGATCCACAACTTCCTTACAGATAGAGTACAAGCTGTCGATATTGGAAACTCAAAATCAACAGAAGAGAGGATGAAAAGTAGATTGCCACAACGCTAGGTGCTTTGACCGATTCTTCTCCTCATTCACATCATCGACATCGACTCAGAACTTACCCACGCATCTACATCGTCATTTGCGGTCGATACAAGAGTTCTAATAAGGATCCCAGACGACCTAGGCTGCGAGAGATTACAGTACGACTTGTCAACAATCTACGATTATGCCCCTAGTAAATAATTTGCAATTAAAGGCGCCAAGTTCGAAATAATGAGATAAAGAATTAGCACAGTGACTGGATGCTGCATAGCTACTTGGCATCGGATGGCACAAAAATTGAGGCTAAGTAACTTGTTCGATATTTCGGTGTGTTGATGAGTACCGAAACCACATTCGAAGATCACATCTAGCAAATATTTGCACGAGGCAGACAGGGGATTGAGTGGATCTTGCGAACAATTCAAACGAGAGAAGCAGCTCCAATGATTGCATACGTGCTCATAATTTTAGATATTGCTGTCAGCTTTGGACGCCGCTCAAGGAGGGCGAGGGGCGGCAACTGGAGTCAGTCCAGTGTACTTTCATGTCCAGGATCAGCGGCTTGAGAGAGCTGAAGCTGAACTAATGGGGCGAATTGAAACAATTGGGTATGTATTCACTGGATATGGTGACATATTAAAACGAAAACTGAGGGAGACTGTGCCGGACTCCCCCTTTTAATAACTGAGCTGCGGTCGGAGTACCGACTCTTCGAGAGGGATCACTATCCGTGGCAGGACCGAGACTGTTTAATGTCTTGCCCAAGATGCTGAGAAGAAGGGATTTCACCTTTGCGACATTCAAGGGACGACTGGACGAGTTTTTGAGCAAGATCCCTGTTTGCCCGGTAATGGGAAAAGGCCCTCAGCAAGTGACAAGCAACAGCATCTTGCATCAGGTGGCCCAAAGGAGGTCACAGAGACCGAAAACGTCCAACGCTACATCCGAGACCCGAGGGCGGGAAGACATGCCTACCGACGGCTTGGAGACGGAGGACGACGAAGGCGACGCATCAGTGTGACCGTGGACTATAAGAAGTCCTAAACTCTTCATTAAGTCATAAGGTATAAGAATTGCATTATCTTTTATTAAAAATCTACAAATAAAAATTTCTATATTTTTCTCAATTCATTCTCACTTCATATTCGATTATTAATTAACATCTTCTCTGTAGTCACGCTCATATTTATTAATTTGATCACCTAAAATCATGTGTACATATGACCACTTGGCACTTCATAGCAGCCCATGCACTTGATTCTTTCTTCATCGCTTGGAGTGTTGATCTGGCACACAGATTTAGCAGCGGCGGACGTTCATCTTTACTTTATTTAATTAAAAATATAACACTAACTCTCATGTTTACGTAACTTAATTAACTACAATTATGTAATTATGTCCTCACCGTGCACTTCAATGCAGCCCACTTGATTCTTCATGACGGGGGTGTTGATCTGACACATGTAGCAGCCGCGGTCCTTCTCTCTCACGTTGCGGATGTGCAGGTTCCAGGTTCGGTGCTCGTCGTGGGTGACAGCGATGCGGCTGTTGTGGGTTACAACGCGCTTCTGTATCGTCAGAATCGTCTGGGAATCTACCTTCAGCCATCCAACCTGTAACATGAGAAACAATAGTCTGTTACAAAGGTCTGTTAATCTGACTTCAACCAACCGTCATGCAGAGAGAAAATGAATATTTTCAAATATTCATGAAGCCAATCGAACTGGACAGTGGACAACCAACAGCGGTAGCTTATAGTTGTTAATGTCCAGCCAACACAATAGTTTAGTTGCATATGCATAACGAATAGCGATAGATTAATTGAATACGCACCACCAACAGCGATAGTTAATTTGTAGAACAAAGATTATTTAATGCTTGTTGCATTGGCTGTGATCCAGACTAAAATAGTTTCAATGTCTAAGGATTTTATTGCGGGAGAGCGTGCTACAATTTTATGATTTCCAACTCAGAGCAGCCAAGTTAGGCTCATCATCAACGGTCTTTGAGGGGCAACCGTTTATGGGTTAATGAAACGAAATTGAATTAGATTATAGACTATGAAAATGCTGTGAATATAAATATAATAAGGTTGAGCTCAGACACAAATTAAGATAAATTAAATTTATCTAAGTCATGTACTCACATAACTTAATCTAGCCAAGCAAACAAAAAACATATATAGTGCAAGTGAACTTTAGGCTGTAGCATTTATACGGCCGGTCAAGTCAGAACGGGAATTCCGGATGCCGACATCTGTTGAGGAGGTAGGTGCCGAACTTGGAGGTGGCCGACCAATATGCTACTGTAAGTAGCCTGAGAAATTAATGGATGATATTTCGAGATAAATGTTACATCATGTGTAGTTTACGGTAAGTTGATATGGAAGATATTGACTTGAATCGGCGAACCGAGGACGAGTAGTTGATGCAGGCCACCTGACCAAGCACGCTATACTGTCTTGTATGTAGATGAGAGCCCATGAGCAGGCATAGGAAACGTAGTTGCTGCCATCAAGATGCGCTGTGTGTAGAATCTAAAGCCTTGAATAAAACACTCGACAGCTATCATGTGTTCATAGAAAATTTGTGAGGTTCAATAACTTATTGTTACGAGAATGATCAAGGTGAAACATCCCAAACGGTTGAGGTAAAAAACGATCAAGTTTAAACGGTTAAGGTTAAATACAAGGTTTACATACTAGCATTATTTTATTGCACGTTCTAATATAAATACTTTACTATTCATTATTTAAGGAATAGACGGTGGTGATGCAGGTAGAATATTAACAATTCATTTTTTAATTGCTGTTTTTCTACCCCTTAACCCAATAACAATGGCACTTTTTTTTCTCCTATTTTTCACATTACGAGAACAATCTTTTTTTCTGACGATGAGGTGCAGTCCCGAAAAGGCTATTATTTTAGTTATCCATTCCCTGAGATCTTGCCGCAATAATTTTTTCCATGAATAAAAAAGTATGTGAACGAGCCATATAGAGCCAGGCATTAACCTAAGAAGAAGAATAAGATTCACTCGCTAAGCACAATCAATGACGTTATTTCGCTCGGATGCACACATTGAATTCTTCTTCCGACATCCGTACTTAGGTCACACAATCCGTTCTTTTGCCAAATAACCTGAAACAATTATCAGCGATTGAACAGCGGCCGTCCATGAGTCTGTGAGTGGCCTCTTATAAGTTGACCAAGTTTTATCCACAAGTGCAAAAAGTGGTGCTAAAAATTCTCTTTTTCCGAGGCGATTTTCTCCCCCAAGAGGAATCGTTGTCTCAGAGGCACGCTGTAGAATCTCCTTAGAAGAGACGTAAAGACGAAAGCGTCTTTGGGCGCTTTTTGTTCTGCCTTAATCTCGATGGAGAATCGAGTGGGTGCGATGAAGAAAAGGGCGGCGAACGATGGTATGTTTAATATCTTATTAATTATTGAGAGACACTCATGCAGTGAGCAACAGAATATTAGGCTTGGCAGCACATTTTAGCATTGAACTCAAAAAAAATCAATGCGGATCAACATTTCCTCTTTCACCCTTTTTAAAATGTTTGCTGGTAGGATTTAAAACATTCTAATAAAAGATTTCTTGTATGATATAATTTTTATTTCGTACATTTACCGCAGGTTTCTTTTCAACTGTGATATTATTTACTCAAAAAATTATACTTTTTTTAGGTGTTAAGATGCAATATTTTTGCAGGTGTAGAAATATTTTGACGATCAAATGACATTTATAATATCCTATTAAATACAACAACAGGCGATAGTAACCACTCATTTATTCTCTTCTTGATGGCGTTCTTCCCTTCTGGCTCCTATGTAAGCTATGTTACACTTTCTCGTAAATTGTAAGCATAACACAATTTCCGTTGTTCAGATACTCTTGACTTATTTCATCGTTGTTATGTCTAATTCAGCCCACGTCTCGTTCATTTAAGCTTATAAAGTTGATATCCTCAGCTTTATTGGAGAGCTTCAGTTCATGAGAATATCAGTTTCATTGAGTTTTACTTCATTCTGTTATTGTCTTGTTGTAAATACGGTATGTTACTTCTGTTCAATTTGATTTTAGCAACTAGGCTCCCACGCATATTGTCTTCTTAATGCAAGGCATTCGACTAGAAATTGATCTTCATGCAGCTGGTAATTTCCTTGCTTTGTCCATTTGTATACATGGAAGGATTGTACTAAAATATGTAATTTATATCATTTGTCTTTTAATTCATATATTAATTAATTTGATTAATACTTTAAAAACAATTTGTTTATTTTTCTTGCTGCTGTATAGTATATGGCTTTGTAACCGTTTTTAAATTATTTAAAGCCGTTTATGAGTTATGAATTACAAAATTATCATCTGCAGACTCTCAATTACCAAATTTCCACTCTGGAGTTCGTTTTACCGGATTTCAATAATACACGATTCATCAAATTTTCAGTGATCACGCAGACAAATAAGATAATCTACTTTCGAGTATGGACAAACATCTGAAATCATTGAGATGTTTGAGAAGTGGAGCAACTGAAATTTGTATCGGTTTTTATACCAAGAAATGAAATCGTAACTTGTTTCTTCGGTCAGCGCAAGCTACCGCGGCCTCTGTAAGGGGTTCGCGCCTCCCCTCAATTTATGCGTGCCTGCAATAGGCCGTAGCTTCCGGGACAATAGAATATGGCAAATTGTGAGGCGGGAGGACGGAGGAAGCACAGTGAGGCAGGGTGAGGCACAGTCAGGCTGTGAGGATCACTGAGGCTGTGCTAGGCACCGTGAGGCTGACTGATCCAGTGCATGTGAGAGTTAGTGCACGAGGCAACATGTAACACTGTGAGGCATAGTATGGTGAGGCAGGAAGTAAAGAGATCAGCAGAGATGAATAGACTGAAGGTGAGGCAGAAAGTAAAGAGATCAGCAGAGATAAAGAGAGCGAAGGTGAGGCAGAATGAAATAGAACAGTTATGGTCTTCGTATCTTCCGCCGCAAGGCTGGAAGGTCGCGACTCTGTACTCGCAATATCTCGCGGTTTTGAGACGTATTGCGAGCGCTGCGGCGACGTGTGCGCTTTGTGTGCCTGAACTAGGCGGGGGATATGGTCGTTTGCTGCATCCGTTGTTGTGATACATGCAGTGTTAAGAGTTTATTCTTATGCTACAGTAGTTCAGTTATTATTTTTATGCTTCATTAGTTCAGTAATTATTCATATTCTTCAGTTGTTTTGCTATTATTCATATGCTTCAATACTTCAGTTATTACTTTTATATTCATTTTTTTCATGCTTCGGCACTTCAGTACTTTTCCCAATACTTCGGAACTTCAGTTATTATCCACACGCTTCAGCAGTTCAGTTATTTCCCTCATGCCTCAGTAATTAATTCAGTTATTGTTATGATAATTATGAATATTTATTTGATGTGTGTATTTCACATTTATTCTCTACGCTTTGTGTTTGCCGAGTTGGTGTACGGTCAACATTCGGTGTATGTAGATAACGTTGATGATTCAGTAGCAACACGTTGATTATTCTAGGACAAAAATAGTTGAGCAGGTTGATACTTTATTCATTGTTGAAATTTACCAATTATGCAGTAAACAAATAGTTGTGATCGTAGATCATTCAAATGATAGGTAATAGCAGCATTTGATACCTGAATTGCAAGTTAAAAACTTGGATCTTGTCCTTACAGGTTGGTTAGAAGTTTTGCTGGTGAACACATGCAGACGCTTTGTTTTTTATGAACGTTTCTAATAGATGACGTATGCCGGTTTTCGTACTTTAAGTTGTCGTCATCGTCGGTATTTGTCAAAACGTTTGTCTCTGTACGAACATTATTAGTCGCTCGAAATTTTCTTCGACATGAATTCATATCATTGAAATATTTTACACACGAATTAATATATGCGTGACACTCGCTAGCTTTTTTCTTTTACTCTACATCTTGATCTTACATGTCGTCATTGCAGATAAAGCTGTAGGAAAAACCAACTCAGTTCCCAGCTCGGTTATATTATTCGTCTCTGTGGACTGACTGGCAAGAAGTAAGAGAGTGTACGAACCAATCACTGTCGCCCTTACAGCCCAATATGGTTTATGAGCTTCACAAATCTCATAAGGAGTGTATCCATACAATGTAACATAATATATAAACACTATATAGTAAAATCCAGATTTTCATCCATGTATTTAGAAGTTACTTTGAAATCTAGTTAAAATGGCTTTATGATATACACCTATACCAAATAGTGAATTTTCCCTTCAAATAATTCAACCCAGACCTGATATCCTTTTCGAATTTTAATTCTTCTGCAGCGAATTACTTTCTCACTTCCATTTCACTACTTAACAATTGGTAGCAAAGTCCCATGCGGCCCAATTCAATGCGATGGAATTAATTACAGAGGCGCTGGGAAGCTCTTTAGGTTCGCCGCAATCAGCGTAAAAGTCAGTCGTGACTGAGTAAAGCGAGTCACGGGTGATTGGTGACTGAGTAAAGCGAGTCACGGGCGATTTGTGACTGAGTAAAGCGAGTCACGGGCGATTTGTGAGTGAGTAAAGCGAGTCACGGGCGTATGGTGAAGTAAAGCGAGTCACGGGCGATTTGTG